TACATAAAGTTATCCTTTTTGAAATATTTGAAAGAACACTACACAAAGTTTCTTTTGAAATCGATTTGATTTCGTTGCTGGTTCTCATGCCTAATTCAGTAAGATCGTTGATAGGTGTTTTGGAGATGTTGTTTTTCAGATGGATGGCCTCATACAAAGAAATCCAGAGGCGTTAAGTCCGATGAATGTAGAGCCCGCCGAATTGAACCACCGTTCTAATCTATCTGTTTGGAAAATGATTATTCAGATATTGTCATATATCGACAGCGAAGTGAGCAGGAGCCCCATCTTGTTGAAATATGATCGAACGGACCTTGTGTAATCTTCTAACTTCTGGAACGAATAAGGTATGAAGCATCGATAGATGATTTTTCGATATGGGAAAACAGACATTAAGTCTAGAAGACTTCATAACGGTATCAATAGCTTCGTATGAATGAGTTTCATATCAGTATCAGATGTTATGTTTGTTGATTAGACAGAGATGAAATTAGTACAAGATTCGAGTAAACCCAGCCAAAGTTCATCTAGGAACATGTTTCTATTCTTTTTCCAAACATAATTCAACGAGCTCTATCCAGTGATATAATCAGATTTTCCAAAACTCAAACTAATTTTCAGATTTTTTTATAGCGCCCTCTATGGTCCCAAAGATCATAATTTGAACTATGCGAAATCTGATGATACCACTAGATAGAGCTCGTCGAGTTGTACTTAGAACAAGAATAGTAACTCTGAAACATGTACCTAGATGAATCTTGGCTAGATTTACTCGAATCTTATGCTAACTTCACGTACATGCTGACTAGTCCCGTTAAATAAAAGGTAGCTTCATCCGAAAAAAATAAATTTTCTTGAATGTCATTATCTTAAATTCGATCTTCAGCTTTCGTTTTACAACGATAGGCAATTCAAATTTGATCATAAATGAAACAATCTGTATTCTAACGTTTGTAGGCATAGACATTTATCTGAAAATAAATCGAATAAAACTTCAAGGACTATGCTATCATATTATTAAAAAAATATATATATATAAATCGCTCGAACTAATTAAAAGAAATTCAGTTTTTTTTTCACGTCGGACTTTTAGAACACCCTGTATAATTAAATATTGAAAAAGTACGATTTTCATTTTTAATCAAATGTCAGCTTAGATGCACACTGTGAGGGGGATTCATAGTTCTACCTTATATACTTCAATATTTCCCTTTTAGATTGTATTTTACAAAATTAATAATAAGTATAATTTTTTTTTGTTTTATTTTATTAGATTTCTATAAATGCATTACAAAATTTTCTTGAACAAATGGAAAGTGGCTATAGTAAATATCGTAATCCATATCATAATTTAATTCATGCAGCTGATGTTTTACAAACAACATATCAAATCATCTATAATTCTGGTCTCATGGTAGAGGTCAATGGAGTTTAATTGTCTAAATTTGCTTAGTAGATTTTTGTGAATAGAACAAGTTTTTTTTTAGTAGTAGTAATAGTCTAGTTTTTATTTGTGCTTAGCATGATTGGAATTTCATACTGTCTTAATTATATTTAATTATGTTTAATATTTCTTTTTTTTAAATATTTCTTTAGAATTGGCTTAATGATCATGAATTATTTGCAATGTTTATTGCAGCTATTATTCATGATTTTGAACATACAGGAACATCAAATAATTTTCATATACAATCGAGGTAAAAAAAAAAAAGAAATCCAAATGTTTTGCTCACGTGAATTATTAATATAGAAAATTTTAAAAAATAAATTAAGTTTTAATGGTAATCCTTAGGTTATTTCAATCAATCGAGAAATAAACTTGTTGAAAATCATACAGTAGTAGAAAAAAGTCGTCATTTTACTTAGAGAGAGGACTTAAAAAACTGATTCTAAGATTTTTGCTAAAATTGATCGAATTTTAGGGAGAATCGTGTGTTTTTTTTTTGGAGCGCTGGTGAGCAAGAAAACGAATAAAATGCTGAAACTTCACTGGGAAAAAACGAAAATTTCTCAAG